ACAAAATCTACATCAGGAAGAGGCGACACAGACGTAAACCTGAGGTTAGACTTTCACAGATTGAACCTGAGATTTCGTCTTTTGACAGAAGAAAGACAATCAGAGTCAGACTAGCCAGACTGAACCTCCAAGCAGCAACCTCCTACTACTACACTTAAATTTCAAGGTTTGTCAAGGATTTGAATCATGCTGTACAGTAGGGGATTATCTATTTTAAATATGGTGCTTAACACTCAAATATTCCAGCACAGCAGTTCTACCTGAAACTATTTTGAAGGAACACCAAAGCCACATCCTTCGCTTAGCCCCACTCACGACAGCTATGACTTGTTTAAATAAATACAAACAAGCCAAGTGTTTTTCTCCTTACAGCAGACTGATGGTGTGGTGCAGCCAGACCATTATGTTCTACAGAATGGGCTTGTTTTCAGGGCCAATACCTATTATTGGTGATCAAAACAGACTGATAATAATTTTTTTTTATATTTGTGTTTACATCATGTGCAAATACATCAGATGGATTTTTTATAACTTTACTTATAGTGTGTATTACTATAGAAAAATTGTATTTGTTTGAAATTCAGTTGACACAGATACTTAAAATTAAGTGACTTGGACCTGATCGGGGCCATAAACCTTTATTGGGACATCACTGCCCTTTACTGTTGGATGATTGTGAAGTAATAGATGCTTAACTTGTGCATTAGCTTTCTGTAAAATGTTTAATCTGCTACTTTTTGCAGTATATAAGGTTGTATTTCATTTAACCTGTTCCTTTGCATTTCAGCGTGTTAAAGGGCTACACCATCCAGCACCTCCCTGATGGCACAGTCATGGTGGAGTCTATCGTCATCAAAGTCTCCTCCTCCGCCGAAGATTCTAACGCCAAGGTCCTGCTGCTTTCCTGGAGTTATCAGGTAAAACGCTGTCATCCTCTTTGCAGCGGAAATTAATTTTTCAGAAAACTAGGGCAAAAACATGTGTGAGGGTACTATATACCTACAATACAGGAAGTAAAATGTGGGTCAATTAAAATGAAACAATACGTTTTTTTTTTAAAGACTGTGTCCTCATGTTGACTGTTTATCTTTTTTTCATGTGTGAAATGTGTGTAAAAATTGCTTCTCCTTTTTTTTTACTATATGTAGCTATTTGTATATGACAATAAGTCGTCTTTGCTCTAAAGCTGAATTGAGGGCACATCCTGTTTACTTACATTTTATTGGTCAAATGTGATCTGGGGTGACAGCAGCTCTGCGTAACGCATCAAACAGCACTTAGCCAACTAGTAGATAGCGAGCAGACTAAAATCAAGCCCAGACATGAAACATTGCTGACGGAGAGAACCACGGTACATACGTGGTATTTGTCATATGTGCAAGATTGTATACATATCTATAATGCATCTCAGAGTTTTCCTACTATAATGTGTGAGGACGAATGTGAGGAATTGTTTTACCTAGTTGTTGGTTATTAGTTGTAGTCAAACTGGCAGCTTCTGCTGGGATTAGATCGCAATGAAATGCATGTCTGAAAGGAGTTTCGTTGCAGAAAGTGTCCGTCTGGATTTCATTGCTCAAGCAGAAAGGAAAGAATACTTTATAAGTGTGTGTGTGTGTGTGTGTGTATGGTTACCAGCTTGTTACTCCTCTGCAGCTCTTCATTGTGCAACCTGTGCAATAGCAGAGAAAGTTCAGTTCAACAACTTCCCAGTAGGCCCAGGCATCATCTGCAGACTTTCACTTCATCTTCATGGACAGGGTTACACTGGGAATTTACCTTGCTTTGCTTAAGCTACGTAAAAGAATCTTCAAGAATTGAATCTGTGCCACATTCATGCATGCAGCAAAATTTGCAGAGGAGTTTTGACACATTCAGGTCATTCCTTTCACTGAAGAACGAGACGAGTTGTAATCATAGATAGTTTCTGATCTTCTTAATGTGGTTGAATTGGGATCTTTTTATTTCAAATATTATAACTGTACAATTAAATACAAGAGAAGGCCTTTTTCTTGAACACAGCGAGCACATAGGTAGTTGATAAAGGTTAAAGATAATAACAGTTTCCTGTCCTAGATCATAATCTGTTTTGGGCAGTAGTAAACATTGTGGGTGAAACCTGCTGTGACCACACTGCTGAGGGGATGGCTGTTAAGTAGCGTGTGCATGCCCACACAGTCCTGAACGGTTCAGCCATGAGGTGCAAGCACGTGGGTGGACAGTTTGAGAATAGGGGCTTTGAAAGTGAGAATAAGATGAAAGTAGAAGGTGGGGAAACCAGCCTGCTGAACTCAGTCACTGCGCAATGGAGGGAGGGAGGTTCTGTGGCTTCATGTGTTCTGTATACGGAACAAAGAGCAAGAAAGGCATGAAAAAGATGTTATATTTTACCATCTTTAAAAAGCGTGTTACAGATGTGATAGACACGAACCTAAAGCCAAGATCTCACGTATACTTTAAATCTGATTATCAGTGAAACTATGCTCTATAACAGGAGTTTTCAAAGTGTGGGAGAGTGAGCCCCCCCTCAGAGAACAAATGAATAGCTGCGCCCTCGACATACACACAATTTCAACATCTTCATGTGTTTCTTTTTATTTTTTTTTTTACACATCTTAAACACATTTTAAATATATTTGTGTGCTTTTAAGGAACTGTTTTGCAGCTCTTTTGTATGGCTGAAAAAACAACTTTCATCAAATGCTGAGATCCTTATTTTGGCAGGAAAAACATCTATAAATGCAACATTATGGTATTAATGTTGATTTCAAACACCAAAAGAGATTCTGTACTGCATTTACTGAAGGTCATGTGCAGGACAAAAGCATTAAAGAAGGGAAAATGTAGCGTCTGCACACTGAATTACAGCCAGACAAAATTATGGGACTGAAAAGAGGTGAATTTTCTTTTTGTGTGTCTCTATTGTGACACAGATAAGTGTCGGCCATCAAAATTTTTGCTTTTCACATGACTTAAAAAAAACCAAATCTATTTTTTATTACAAATCATGAAAATCTGTAGATGTTTGATATTCACAGTCACACTGAAAGACTTACCTGAAAAGTAATTAAATAAAACATTTTTTTTTATCGTCAAAAATCCATGATTCAAGGATTTAAAGCTGTATTTGTCACACACACAAAAGAATGTTGTGAAGGTTGTGCTTGAAAAATACTGTGCAAAGTACAGGGAGGATATGGATTAAAATGAAATATAAAGGATGAAATGATAATATCCATCTATTTGTAGAACACTTTTTAAAATGTGCCTCACAAGGCAAAATAAAACAGATATGTCATAAAACCATCCGAACTGAAAAGACAGATAAGTGTTAGAAAAGGTAATAAATGTATTATTGAAAGAAATACGAGACAGTTCAAAGGAAATCAGATGAAATCAGGAAACGCTTTCCAACAAACCATTTTAAGTAGAGACCTAAAAGAAATCACTGATTTAACCGACCTGACTTCCTCAAGCAGATCGCTCCAGAGTCTCGGCTGCAAACACTCTGTCCTCTTTAGTTTTCAACCTTTCTGGTTCAGGCAGATGAAAGGGCTGTGACAGTAATCCAAGCATGATCAAATAAAAGCTTGTAAAATAGTCTCTGTTTAAAAATTTAAATGCAGCAAGAAACAAAAACAAACAAACAAACTTGACACGATCTAAAAGCAAACCAGCTGGTGTTATGTGCTGCAATGTGATAACAAGAATCTTTGTTTTGTTTGTGTTTGAACTGATGCATTTTTTGACATAAAAAAGATGGTAATTGAGAGAATTTGGCATACCAGACTCAAAGGGTCCAACTAGCAGGGAAAGCTGTGAGTCATCAGCAAAAAAAGAAGAAAAACCATGTTTATGTCATTCCATCTCATCCAGTTTTTGTGAACTATTTCTGCTGGACCATCTCTGATTTGCCTGAACTTTTAGAGCATAAAAGAAGAATATTTCTGAAAATATTTGTGAAGTTTTATCAAATACTTTCCAGGGTTGTTTTTTTTAATTGCCCTTTGACTGATTTTCTGCCCATTTTCTCACACATTGAAATTTGAGACTATGTTTGAACGACAGTATCTCTGCATCTGTTAGTATTTTTATAGTAAGTAATAAGCAAGCAAATCACAGAGATGGTTGAGCAGAAGACCTCTGATGATTTGAGGTGGAGAAGCACGTTCATGGTGATGGCATCAAACTGATTCAGACTTTATGTGGTTGAGGGACATCGGAGTATGTAGTTATTTTTTGTCACAAAAAGGGAAATTGGTGCTTGGTTTTATTTTCACAAATGTGAATATTTTTTGCATTTCTTTCCTATGTGTTAATACAGACTGAACATCTTTGAGCTTTAGACAGTTTTAATGAGCTTGGTTCATATTTATTTGACACCAAATCAGAAGATTTTTCAGGTTTAAAAAAAACGAAAATCCCAAATTTACTGTAATTCATAAGACTCACAAGTGGATCTGCGCACATGGGACCATAGGAAGCATTCCAAGAGGGGTATTTTTTTCAATTAATATTTGCATTTTTGCCTCTTAACCCCTTTTTTTTAAATCACTTGTGTGATGTGTGGCGAACTGTAGAGTCTTAAGTATTAAGGTTAAGGGGTCATAAAGTTAAAAGGTTGAAACTCCTCTTACTTTAAGACTGTTCATGTTAACTTGTGTGAAAGTAAAAATATGTTGTATACTTTGTCATTTCCTACAATGCTTCTGTTTTCTCGTCAGGACGAAGACCTGGGGAGCTTCCTCTCCACTCTGCTGAAAAAGGGCCTTCCATCTGGACTCTGCTGAAATGTCTTTTGCTCAACAATTAGGACTTTTGTAGTCATTCTTTCTAGAGGCTACAAACTTTCCCTGTGCATAAAATGTCTGATCTTCAACACGGAGGCTGAACCTGCTCCCCTTTACTGTTGTAATGTACATACATGTGTTGTATTTCCTCACATGTACACAGGCTCCTGACTCTTTTCATCGACTCATTTATAGAAAAACATACTCAGATTCTGATTTATGCCTTTATTTTGTGTATAAAGCCATTTTGAATAAACACGTACAGACCCAGTGATGATGAAGCACGCTCAGAGCAATATTTACAGCTACATTTACAGTTTGTGTGTGTTGTCCCCCCTCTCAGTCCACTGTGATGATATAGACACCCCTGTTCCTGGTCACCCTTCCCCACAGCCAGGTCATCTTTAATCGCTTCCACTTGCAGTGGCTGGTGGTGATGTAGTACAGCACGGGGTCCAGACACGTGTTGAGGACGACGAGGGCCATGGTGGCCCGCCGCGCTTCGTGGATGATGTTGGCAACAGAGCAGCTCTGGATGATCTCCATCCGTCGAAGGAGGTGCAGCAGGTACACCACGTGGTTGGGCAGGAAGCAGAGCAGCGTGATGGCCAGGATGGTGTAAATGACCCTCACTGCTTTTTGGGCTGTTTTAGTCCTTATCATGGCAATGCGCCTGGCGGCCAGTGGGTAGCACACCAGGATGATCAAAGAGGGCACCAGGGACCCGAAGACCAGCACCAACACACTGTATGGCCTCAGACGCGTGTCCCACTCTTTTTTGGCGAAGTTCTCGAAGCAGCTGTGGCCCACAGATTCGCCCGCGTTGCTCTCCAGAGGTCCCATGATGATAAAGACCAGAATGGCCACTCCGGCGGCACACCAAAGCACCACACTCGCAACCAGAGACCACCAGTGGCTCCGCAGCCTCAGATAAGTGTGCGGGTGCACCGTGGCCATGTAGCGATCCACACAGATGCAAGTCATGAAGCAGATGCTCATGTAGATGTTGGCAAAGAAGAGAATCCCTGTGATCCTGCAGGCAATGTCCCCGAACACCCAGTTGTTCCTGTTGAGGTGGTAGTGGATCCGAAACGGTAGAGTGCAGAGGATGAGGATGTCCGCCAGGGCCAGGTTGCTGATGTAGACGCTGAAGGCCGTGCGGGGAGCGACCCTGAAGGTGAAGACGAAGAGGGCAGCCAGATTTCCTGGAAGACCTATGACTAAAGCAGGGATGTAGAAGGCCGGGAAAAGATAATACTGGTAATCTGCTGGTGGGACGCTGCAGTTGCCATCTGTTCCGTTATTCATGGCAGACCGGGTGTTTCTTGTCACGTCAAAAAAAGCGTAGGTTGATTATGAAACACGCTGCAGCATTGCAGGCCGTCCTCTGTAACTGAAGCGACACAAACATGTTTCCATTCAGAGTTGTTCCACTTTTACTTAGACACAACCTTTTACTTGACTCCAGTGTGTGATTCTGTTTGTTCTGCTTTTAACCCTCCAGAAAACTCATTATATTATTCCATATAGCATACGGTTATTAACAAGAAAGGTGATTTAATACATTTTTACGGTACTTGTTTAAGGAACCACCTTAAAAGACTAAAGCGACACATGAATACAACCAACACAGTTACACCTAAGTAATAACAATGTTCTGAAGTTGTTGAATATTTGATCTCGTTGATTTTTACACAGATTTAAATTCTGAGTTCCACAACATTGGCAGGTTTCCACCACGTTCTCATGAGTTAAACATTGTCCTAAGCAACCAATTTCTTTTCCAATACAAAGTGATGAAATGAGAGGAAGTTTTGGGAGGGAAAAGTCACTTACCAAGTGGTTTACAGACCGCTTCGTTTGACCTACAAATGCAGAAAGCTCCACAGCAGGCTGACAACGTGCGATGAAATGCAGGTTTTGTTTGTGCTGCTCTCCTCAAACCGAGCTGACTTTATAGCGTGCGGCTCTTTGCTAAGGCGTCCTCATTTCCTGTTTCACTGTGCAGGTGTAAATTTAAGACGGGCAGGAAACCATAGAATGACTGTATTTTATGCAAGCGTACTTTTAGTATCTACCCACAGCAGCACCTCAAGATCTGTCTGTTTATTTTTTAAGTATAACATTAGTACTACACATTCTTAAAACTTACAGTTAATATTCCCATTTTCACTTAACTGAAACACAAAAACAAGAGCAGTTAAGAGAGAAAGAAAAACAATAGAATTATAAGGCCAAGTACAACCCACATGGAAACTGATGTGCTTCTTCTTTTTGTGTTTTATAGATGCCCTACAGCACTTGAGACAACATTTTCCTGCTGCTGTGTCCTGTACATCTGTATTCTTTCAAATGCAGCAGCTTCTCCTGAACTATGTCCAGTCTTAATATCTTATTAATTTAATTTAATTTAATTTAATTTAATAGTGAAACATTGAAAAGGCCCTACAGTCTCCTTACATATAGCATTATACAATGAATGTAAATGGAATAAACGCCCACATAGTCATCTTTCAGACGCATGTATTTTTGTGTGGTTTGAGGGCTGGCTGAGTGTTTAGTTATTTATATAATCACACAAAAGGTGCATAAGTTCAAACATGATTCACTTTCTCTTTTACGTTTTGTCCTCTGTGTGTGAACTGCTACCCAGTTCTGAAGTCAAGGACAATTAAAAATCAAAGTGGCACCTCAAACTTGGTTCTTCAAAATTTCAAAAAATTATATGACAGCCAACTTGCAAATTTGAATAAACAAATGAAGACATTTTCGATGAAGATCTTGTCTGCAAATGTAAAGATATATGATTTGGAGTCAAAGACCTTATCCTCCCCATCAGTCTATGCTCAGTAACTCAAAGTTGCAAAGTGAAAACATAGTTTTAGAAGTTTTTGCAGTTTTCTAACTTTTTAAAAAAAAAAATCTGAAAACTCACAGCTAGAAAAATTTCAAGAACCTCACTTCAGTAATCTGTAAAAGGCAGTAATTACAGTTTTGCACCACTTGATTGTGAATAAAAACACATATAAAGTTCAGAATACTTTCTGAAGTGAATGTAATTCACAGCTCTTGCGATAACAACATGAGCTCCCTTCTGTCAGTAATACAGCATTGCCAGATTTAAAAAAGAACACACAACACATGGACATCTTATAACCCTATACGTTCTTTCCACTCTGTACATTGTGTTCAGTATTTCAGTGCTGTAATTGTACATGGCACAAGGTTCACTGTGAGGTTAATCAGTATATTATTAATAATATTTTGCAGCACCGAAGATCTTAAAACGTGACTTTATCACTGAATCCATCGTTAAAACAAAGCTTTAAGATCAAGTTGTTTTACCTTGTTAACATGTTTCTTTTGGTGTTGTTTATATGTTGGAGTGAAAATAAGCAGCCAGCACCTTAACCAACTGCAGATGATGGTCTCAAAAACCCAGATTTAGACTTTGGGAGGAAGAAACCTAAGAATCCAGTTCGACCTCTCTGCGTATGCTGCTCCAAGGTTTAATAGACATGAGACGTATGAGGCCGACCCTGTCGCAGTCTGGCACCTGGACGGATACAGATTATCACCTCCAAGTTCCTCCAGGAGCGTTCGGCTTAGCAGTGAGCTGTTCTAAGGTGAGACAAGGCTGCTGATCAGTACAGTAACTTGGTGCTGACGCTGTGCAGAACTTTTCCTGTGCTCTGTTTGCTGTCCGCTCTCTTCACAGTCTGTCAGGATCTGTTTAAGATGTGTTCAGCTCTAAACACTGAGGAGTGGGTCACCCTGGAGAAGATGCAGCTAAGTGAACCTCTAAAACATTTCTCATCACTCTTTGACCTGGACAAGGAACTCAATAAATCTGGTCTTCCATGACTTGAAAACAACATCAGTATTTTAACTTAACTTGAACTATAGAGCCAATTAGCTGAGGTTAGCACAAGACCTCTGGTTCTATTTAAATGTAACACATAGGAGGAACAATATAGGCTTTATAATAACTGTAAAGACTCTACAAATGCATTTTACTGCAAAAAAAGGGAAGAAGATTATTCAGTTTGATGGCAGAAAAAGCCTCCTGTGGTTCTGTCGCTGTACTTGTATAATCCAACCTGTAAATATTATTGTGAGAAACACATCAAATGCTCAGATAACCTTTATATTAGTCAGTCCTGTTTCTCTTTAACCCTTGTGTGATGTTCATATTTTTGTTACTTAGCCAGTGTTGGCGGGTCTGGTGGACCCGCTGCAATTTTGGGGGTTTAATTCAACACAATCAAACAATTTTATGTTCAAATGCTTAACAGATGTTTACTTCATCCCAATTACAAGCAATATA